AGAAGCACAACGTGCACAAGGCAGGGTGACTACACAACGCGGCGTGCAGAACAGACATGACAAAGCAAGAGCGCATCATGCACACTACAAGGGAACTGAACAGTACCGTGCACACTGCAGATGTGACTAATTTTTTACAACTGATCAGGGCAGCAGGAAGGCGAGAGGGAAGGGGGGGGCCAGGGAGCGCACGCAAATGGGATGGAGCCACAGCTAGTACTACTACTACTACTACTACTACTACTACTACTACTACTACTACTACTACTACTACTACTACGCCATACAAGCACATAACAACGAACACAACAACAACAGCAACACCAGCAACAAGTGCAATACTGTTCGCTCTGATCTGATCCAATGTCATTCCACGCGTATTTCCCAAACCTTCGATACCAACCCTCTTCGCATTCGATCGCACCCCTGTTTGGGGGTATATATTCCTTCCCTGCAGGCCAGGCCCCAACAAGCAGCGGGGCGGCCGCGGACCGTCTACCTGGCCAGCGGCAGCGCTGATCGGCGGCAGCCCGACCCACGGACAGGGGACCGACTATGACGACGAGGTCGACGACGACGACGACGACGACGACGACGACGACGGCGACGACGACGACGACGACGACGGCGACGACGACGACGAGCGCAAGCGAGAGCGAGAGCGAGAGCGACAGCGGGGCCACGAATTGCAGCGAGGGGGCCACGAAGGGCGACTGCGGGGCCACGAAGCGCATGCATAAGGGGCCACGACGGGCGCGATCGAGCGGGGGCCACGAAGGGCAGATAATGCGGGGCCACAGAGGGCAACGACGGGGCTATTGAGGGCAACAACGGGGCCACGTAGGGCAGCGAAGGGACCACAAAGGGCGACAGCGGAGCCACGAAGGGCATGCATCCATGGGGCCGCGATGGGCGCGAGCGAGCGGGAGCCGCGAAGGGCACGCGCACATATGGGCAGCAGAAGGCAACGACGGGGCCACTGAGGGCAGCAACGGGGCCACGAAAAGCAGCGAGGGGGCCGCGAAGGGCGACAGCGGGGCCACGAAACGCATGCATATAAGGCCACGACGGGCGCGAACGAGCGGGGGCCACGAAGGGCGCACATATATGAGGGCGCGAAGGGCAGCGAAGGGGCGCCACGAGGGGCTGAAACAGGGTCATGAAAGGCAGCGAGGGGGCCACGAAGGGCTGCAACGGGGACACGAAGGGCAGCGAGGGGGCCACGAAGGGCTGGCTGCAACGGGGCCACGAAAGGCAGCGAGGCGGCCACGACGGGCTACAACGGGGCCACGAAGGGCAGCGAGGGGGCCATGAAAAGCTGCAGCTGCGCCACGACGGGCAGCGAAGGGGGCCACGAGGGGCTGCAGCTGGGCCACGAAGGGCAGCGAGGAGGCCGCGAATGGGGAGGAAAGGGGCCACGAAAGGCAGCGAGGTGTGCGCGTGCGTGTGCGTGCGCGTGCGCGTGTGCGTGTGCGTGCGCGTGTGCGTGTGCGTGTGCGCGTGCGCGTGTGCGCGTGTGCGCGCGTGCGCGTGTGCGCGTGTGCGCGTGTGTGCGTGTGTGCGTGTGTGCGTGTGGGCGTGTGGGCGTGTGGGCGTGTGGGCGTGTGTGCGTGTGTGCGTGTGTGCGTGTGTGCGTGTGTGCGTGTGTGCGTGTGTGCGTGTGTGCGTGTGTGCGTGTGCGTGTGTGCGTGTGTGCGTGTGTGTGTGCGTGTGTGCGTGTGTGAGTGTGTGCGTGTGTGCGTGTGTGCGTGTGTGCGTGTGTGCGTGTGCGTGTGTGCGTGTGTGCGTGTGTGCGTGTGTGCGCGTGTGCTGTGTGCGTGTGCGTGTGCGTGCGCGCGTGCGTGTGCGTGCGCGTGCGCGTGCGCGT